TGCCGGTATTTTGACGTTACTACGAGAATTACTGGTTGCCTACTATCTAGGCATTTTATTGACAATAGAATGATAGCCAAGAAAAAAGTTCAGCTAATAGTAATAATAATAATATTTATTCACTCAATGTTCAAAGATAACAAACAATATGAGTAAAGAAATATGAAATCAAAACAGGCCCAACAGAAGGCATCGCCTGTACATGGACCAATAATTTTAAGTTGCAACTGTAGAATGCAAATGACAAAAAAGGACAAAAATTAACTACAGTAGATTATGTATTTACTTGATATTCGTATTTATGAGTTTATGAATTTCAGTCCTAGATATAGAATGTAGCCAATTTTTTAAATTTCTTTTGAAACAATTTCCGAAATGTAAATCTTTTAAGTCTTTAGGTATAATTTCATAAAACTTAGGCGCTAAATAGAGATACGATCGCTGCATTATAGATTTATGCGGCTGAGGAACTACCGTGCCACGAATTTTGTACCTTGTATAATGATTATGTTTAATTTTTTGGTCGGTGTTTACAAATTTATGGTAGTGAGTGATACTGTGTAAGAAATAAAGCTGTCTTATATCATATATTCGAACATCTGCGTATAATTTGTCAGTGGGATAACGTTTCGGTTTTTTAAATATCATTTTTAGAATACTTTTTTGAAAAACATCTAAATTATAGATATGTGAGGAACATGCAGCTCCCCATGCTAATATACCATATGTGAGATGGGGCTTAATCAGTGCATGGTATAATGTTCGAAGATATTTTTCTGTCAATATATTCCCAAGGTATTTAATTTTGTAGGATACAAATCTAACTTTCTTTAAAATATAGTTGACATGGATGTCCCATCGTAAGTGAGGATCCAAGACCACTCCAAGGTATTTTATGTTGGGCACTCTATTAATTTGCATTTTTTGATCGTTAATGTTGAAGGAGAAATTTGTGTAATTTGGCAGCTGTCTAGCATAAGATCCAAATGGTAAAAAATGTGTTTTAGAATAGTTAATGCTTAATTTTCTACTGTTAAACCACCGAATAATTTTGATAAAATCATTTTCAATTACATTTTTCAGATCAGACCAGTCAGTGCCTTCATATGCAGTATCATCTGCAAAACTGGTTATGTTGCCAACACAATTAATTTGGAAAATATCACTTAAATATATATTGAATAACAGCGGACCTAAGACAGTTCCTTGTGGGACACCACACTTAATATACATTTCTTTACTAAACGATCCTGATATCTGCACAGATTGTGGGCGATTTGACAAATAATTTTCGGTCAGTAAGTACGCGTTTCCTCTGAAACCAATTCTCTCCAATGCTTCTAATAATAATTTGTGATTAACTGTGTCGAAGGCTTTCTCTAAATCAACAAAAATGCGGATTGAAGGGATTCTGTTATCAATATTTTGATGTATTTGATTTACAATTTTAGTTATTGCGTCCGATGTAGCCTTCCTTTCTGTAAATCCATGTTGATTTTCACTTAAAATTTTGAATTTTATGAGGTATCGAATCATTCTAGTAGATAAAACTTTTTCAAAAACCTTTGCTACACTGGATATTATTGATATTGGTCTATAGTTGTTAACATCTGGTTTTGTTCCTGATTTATGTATCGGTATTATAATTCCTTTTTTAAAATTGAGGGATATATGCCAGATTCAAAGCCTTTGATGATTAGGTAAGTGAGTGGTTATGTTATGTCCTCGGCTATAATTTTCAAATGCTCGCTTTTAACACCATCGAACCCAGGACTTTTTCGATTTTTTAAGGACATAACAGTGGTGTATACTTCACATTGCTCGACTTTATCCAAAATAAATGAGTTCAAAGATCTTTTTGGAGGCTGAGTATTTTGTACATTTGCTTGTATATTACTTGGTAAATTTTCGCCTGTGTCAGTAAAAAATTGTACAAATTCATCGCCTATTTGTTGAGTATTTTTAATACTGTTCCCGATGTTGTATTTAACTTAGTGACACACTATTAAAATTTTGTTTTCCCAGTAGTTTCATCAATAGTTCTCCAAAGCCGCTTAGGATCACTTAAGTTATTATTCAATTTATTTAGGTAATGTTTTCGTTTGGTCTACCTTGCAAGCTCTATAAATTCATTTTTATATTGGTTGTAGCAGTCGGTATTCTCTGTAGTTGACGTTAATTTCATCACATTATATAGTCTTTCTTTTTCTATTGCCGATGTTATTAATCCTTTGGCCATCCAGGCATTTCTGCTTTTCTCTTTGTGACTAATTATTACTTTATTGGTACTAATATCTATTAGTTTTTTATTTTCTCTATGAACAGTCCCGTTGCTTTGTCTATATTATTTATAGAGTATAATTGTTCCCAGGAATCTTGTTTGATATTTGATATTAGTTTTGAATTGTCGACAAAATATTTGTAATTTTCCTCGTTGTTATTAACGGTAGGGATGTTAGAATGTTTTTCATTTGAAGATATCAGTAAAATAGTGGAAAAGTGGTCAGTAATATCGCTTTCTAGGATTATTGGTATACAAGTAATTTTGTTGGATAGGTCTTTTACAAAGCAGTGATCTATACATGTGCCACTGATGGACCGTGTAGGTAGGTTTATATAGGACAGACATCCGTTACTTGATAGGATATTCAAGTATTCATTTGTGATGGGATCATCGTCCAAAATATCTCATCCCATGATACAATTTATGTTCATAAACAACGTGTCTCTGACGCATTACAAAACGATTTTTACTTAAAAAATGACCCTCGCAGTTATAGTATGTATTACCAACAAAATCTCTTTGTATTTTGAGGTAATCCGTATATATCTCTTTACATTTACCGCATAGTCGAATAGAATCCTTGTGAAGACGAACTGATATACACTGTCCACGACTCACGTCACTATTTAATCAAGCCATCCATATTAAGCTCATTTTCCCAACTAAGAAACTTTGGCAAAGTTTAATCATCATACCAACCGTCAAAAGGAAAAATTTCCTACATGTGTATTTTACAGACTGTGTAATTTCCTTTGCCGAGAATCCAACATTGCGTCTTAAATTCAATACCCGGGCTGCTGTGAGGAAATTTTTCAGCGAAAAAGTTTTTCCACGTTTTCATAAAAATAATTCAGTCACGTATATTTCTCGAATTATGTAAATCTTTTGATAAATGTATCCGGATAAAATCTAGATGAAGGCGAGGTACAGGTTTTTTCAGTTAAGGTCGTCCTGCTTTCTCTTCTTTATATGAGAATCTGGAGTGCTTAACTGAAAAAAGTTCAAGCTACGGTTTTTATATGGTAAACAGATGGCAAACAGGATAGATACACTGTCAGGCGAAACACTTGGCTCAGGTGGGGTCACAATAATGGCATCGTGAAATGTATCTGGACCTTATATTGTCAACGTTGGTCCTGTACAATGTCAGCAGTAGCGCTGGTGTGGCATTTCTGTAAGAAGGAACATTTAAGTGGCAGCCTGGCAAACGTGAGGCCAGCACGTTGTAGCTGAATTTGATGTCAGCTGCCATCTTCCTCCATATAAAAGTGCGATACTAGCGCTGCATTTTCCCTTAAGGCTCGTTTTCCAAGCAGCGGGATGTATTCCGCAGCGGTGCGTAGTGAGCATTTGTGTGCTAATAAGACTAGTGAACAAAATTAAAATAATTTTTTGTGACGTGGACAAAACAAGGTGGTTATTATGTAAAACATACCCAAAAAGCCGGAAATAGCATTCGATTTTTCACCCACCGTTTTCTTGCCAAAAGGCATAAGGCATTTTATACTCGTAAGATATAAGGATACGCATGTAAGAGTACTAATAAATACTCGAATAAACATTAATCTCAGAATGTTGATGTTTTATGGCGATATGTTGTTCCTGAAGTACCTCTTAACAATCTCCAGCAATAATCAGCAAGCAAATTGACACTCCATTTGTTTTGATAGGTACTGTTTTTCCATAGCAGAAATGTCCTGGTGCAACCGTTCACCATGTTCATCATTTACCGCACCTGAAGTTTCCGGAAGAAACATCGAGATGAGAATCCAAAAAGTGAATTTTTAGAGTCATGTTACATCCCAATCCTTTATAAGCATTAATTAGTTCACTCTCAATATCTTTATAATTATCCGCCTTCACATTGCCTAAAACATTTTTAAGTAACTGATTTAAAAGCATTCCAAGCTCGTGATTCAGTTTCATTTAGAGCACTGTCAAATACATCATCCTTCATGATTTTCCTTATTTGTGGACCCACAAATATGCCCTCTTTCATTTTTGCCTCACTAAGGCCCGTATCGTCAGTCGTCCCTACAATTGTACGGCGCGTTTATGGCCTCCTTGATTGTCATAGCTTTCTACTTCTCCGTGTCAGAGCTGTATTTTGAGGTTATGTCACAAACATCTATTTGCATCAAATTGTGCTTGCTTTTGAGTTATATCATGTTTTATCAGCCTGAAATTTCCTACAATTTAAAAAGAAAACATATCTTCACAATAGGAGAGCGCTGACGCTGACACTGGACAGGTGCAGTCTAGAAATTTTTGAAGGAGAGAAAGCAGTATGACAATCAAGGAGGCCATAAACGCGCCCTACAATTGTAGGGACGACTGACGATACGGGCCTAAGTCTCGGAACTGTTTGTTTTAAATGCGGAAACCCTCTTCAATTTCGATCCATAGCTTTCGCAAAAATTTTCAACAGTCACAACTTAATATGCAAAGGTGGAAGCAACAAGTTTTTGGAATCAACTAGTGGTTCATGAGCAATGTTTTTGAGGCCCGGAGTTATGCCTGACGTAGTGGCCACTTCTGCTGATGACGATCTCGCGCACGACTGTCCCATTCACAAAGAAAATAACAATATTTTGTATGTCCCAGTTCCGTTCCAAGAAGAAGGGCTATTACCTTTAAATCTGTACATATAGCCCTTCCACATTGATTAAAACGGATATACCTTCATATGAACTGCGTGCGCTATAGGTAGGGGAAAGGTCCCTAAGTTGGACCGTCTCTTAAATTGGACCACATCTGTAATTCACAAACGGTAATTCGAGGCGCCATCTATGGCCTATCAATCATAGCTTACGCGTAGTCCAGTCTGTATGTGGAAAAAGAAACCTGTGTTGCTAGTAATATCGAAGGTATCACATGTTGTTAAGTTTTATGCCGGCTGATGTAATTTTTCAAGTGAATTTCTTAAGCTGTAGTTTTTAACTGGTAAGTTGTTTTGTATATCCGTCAGTTTATATATATTTAGCCATCATTTTCCTGAACAGTCATTAAGCAGTTAATTTGATTTTAAGTGAAAACAACTTTTTTAGAGCCAAAAATTGAAATGAGGTTATGATTTCCTAAATTGGACCACATGAAGTTTCTTAATTTGAACCGGTCCAGTTTAAGCAACCTTTTTTTTTCAGTTGAATACTATGTCTCAACGGGGAAAGTATGGAAAGTGGAGCGAGACGAGCATGCAAGAAGCCCTTAATGCCTATGAAAATAATGTTGCCGGTTTAAATGAAATCGCTAGGAGATATAAAGTTCCTAAAGCTACTCTGAAACGTAGAATTGACGATACAAACAAAAATGTGCATGGATGCGAAAAAAAATTCGGACGTTCTACGGATCTTCCCCTAGAAATTGAAAATGAAATAGTTAACCATGTATTGGAGCTAGAAAGAAGCTTGTTTGGAATCACTCGCAATGATTTGCGAAAACTTGCCTATGATGTCGCCGAAGCTAATGGGATTTTACATAGATTTAAAAACGGTAAAGCCGGCAAGAAATGGTATTACTGCTTTATGTCCAGGCATAAAGAGCTATCTCTTCGACAACCAGAGCCTACTTCAGCAGCGCGGGCTACAGGTTTCAACAAAGAAAAAGTCAAGGCTTTTTTTGATTGCCTTACTTCTCTCTATAATGAGTACAATTTCAGTCCATCTTGCATTTATAATGTAGACGAGACTGGCCTCTCTACGGTTCAGAGGCCTCAAAAAATTATTGCACAGAAAGGAAAACATCAAATAGGAGCACTTACGAGCGGAGAGCGAGGTGTAAATACGACATGTGTCTGTTGTTTGAACGCTGCTGGCAATTACGTACCGCCAATGCTTATTTTCAAGCGCATTAGATTTAAAGATGAACTGAAGGCAGGCGCCCCTCCAGGAACAGAATTTGCATGTTCAGAGTCAGGTTGGATAACTAGTGAGCTGTTTGTTAAATGATTGCAACATTTTATTAGTTTTGCGAAACCATCTACTGATAGGAAAGTTCTCTTAATACTGGATGGGCACACCACTCACACAAAAAACCTAGAGGCCATTTTACTTGCCAGAAAGCATGGAATTGTAATGCTGTCCCTACCATCTCACACAACACATCGACTGCAACCCTGTGACGTCTCTTTTTTCAAGCCCCTAAACTCGTATTACAATCAAGCAGCTGATAAATGGCTTCGTACAAATCCAAGCCAAAATATAACCCAGTTTCAGGTATCGGCGCTTCTTGGGGAAGCATATGCTAAAGCAGCATCTGTTGGGAATGCTCTAAGTGGATTTGCCAAATGTGGAATATGGCCGTTGGACCCAAATGTGTTTGATGATAGCGAATACGTTTGTCTATCTACCAGTACTAGTAGTACCACTTCGTTTAAAAATCAAGTAAACTCGGAGATAACCGAAGAAGTGATTCAGAGCGCTTCACAGTTGACTAACATTGATTATTCCAATCCACTTGCATCCACTTCAACATCCTGTTTGCTAAACACAAAAGGTAAATCAAGTAGTGAGCTGCCCAAAAGGAAATCTGTTTCCGAAGTATCACCTGTGCCCATTTTGAAAAGAAAATCGCGTAACCTGGCCTTGTCTTCTACTACAATTATTACAGATAGTCCATACAAGAACGATCTTGAAAAAAAACAACTCAAAAAAATTGATGCTTCTTCAGCCACCAGAAATGTATTTTCTTCTGCAAAAGCTACCAGTAAAGGAAAGTCGTCCAAACTCGATAACAAGAGACCTATTACAAAGAGACGAAGTCTACAACATGGAACGTCAAGCGAATCTGAATCGGAGGACGAAGATTGTCTATGCCTTGTTTGTTTATTTCCATATTCTAAATCGAATCCAGGCGAAGAATGGATTCAATGTAGGATTTGTAAAAAATGGTCGCATCTTAAATGTATCAGTGGAAAAAATGTTAATTTCTATGAATGTATCAACTGTGAATCATCATCAGATAGCGACTAATTATATGTTCCTGTTTTAGGAAGTTTCATTAAAATTAAAATGTTTCAGTTCTTTTAGTATTATCAACTTGTCATTAAAACAACTCACTTTTCCTACATAGTTGTTTTCAGTGTTCAGAATAACGTTTGATTTTTGTGACTGGTGTTTAAAAAACTGTTTATATTTTTTGTACGAGCTTTGGATGATTTTAATAAATGTTCTCTTTTCAAATAATAGAAAATGATTTACGGTTCAATTTAGGGTACCGGTGGTTCAAATTAGGAGACCGGTATCTTAAATTGGACCAAATGACGTCATTTTCTTTTTTTAATTTTTTATAAGACTAATAAACCTAGAATTATTTCTACAGAAGTAAAAGTTTGATAATAGTCCCAAGAATTACATCAATTTTTATTAAGTGAATTAAGTGACGTATTTCGATTTTACACGCGATTATTGTTAGGTGGTCCAATATAGGGACCTTTCCCCTACAAATGGATATTTATTACCGTTGTGTACCAATACCGCTTTTAAACTAAGCTTAGAGGAATCAATGAACAGGCGCCATGTTGGTTCATGTTTCTGTCCTAACGCTTCAAACAAATTGTTGACATCGGAGCAATATATCAACTCCCTTTCTTGACGGAGACAGTGTGTGAGGCCTTGTTGCCGTTTTCGGTAAAATGTAATGTTAACATCACCGTGGTGAAGATTCCATCCTTTTAATCTTGACGCTAACAGTTTTGACTGGGAGCTTGACATTTAATTCTCGAACTAAGTCATCAAGTTCGCCCTGTGTGATCAAATGCAGCGCTGTTGAACATTCTGGCAGGTCAAACGAAGGATTAGAAATTTTTACGCTTTCTGTGCCATCACCTTCAGAATCGGTGGATTCGACCTTTGCATCCGAAGACCAAGATTCTGATGGAACTGTGACAGAAAGTTAATCACTATGCTTAACGGGCCGCAAAGCTGATGGTAAATTAAAATACTCAACAGTATGTTTCGATTTTGGTCCAATACCTTGAATAGTTGTGAGGAAAAAATAGCAACCAGTAGTATGGTCTCTCGGTTCTCTCCAAACCATTGGTACCACAAAGGGCATTTTACGATTGTCGCCTCTTAACCAACCTGTTAACAACGTTACACAAGTCTTACAACAACAAGGGGAGTAAAAGTACGTTCTTGGGATTTAAATGTTAGCTCTCCGCACTCATAACAAAAACTGTTCGCACTATTCAATTTCTAAGTATTGTCCATAAAGCTAGTCTCTTTTAACAAAAATTAACAGTACTCTTCAACACAGAAAACGTAACTGACTCGGCTCCTATTAGCTTACTAATAAACGCAATATGCTCTCTAAACATAGAGCTCGCATATAATAAACAGGAATAGACAGGTATTAACATTATATATGTGCGCCATCGCATAAACGTCGAGAAATGCCGCTATATGAGATGTAAAGTATTGTAATTAAAAAAACTAGATGTTACCAAATATCTGTGGATGATATGAAAATTCTGTTTTTAGATTTGATTTGAGGGTCTCAAAATACATAAGATACACCCAAAAATCCTGTGTTTATCAGTGTAATAAGTGTTGATGATAATTTCATTGGTTTCTTGTCTCAAATACACTTACTTGAGATTCGAAACTAGAAACAAGTTGCGCATCCTCTTTTTCTTATTCATTCTGGATGTTAAATATGCAAATTTGCTGAATTTCAAAAATGATGGAGGTAAGAAAAGAAAATCACTAGTTAGTGAAGTAACAGGGGACAGAATCTGGTTGATATTGCCAAATATCTTAGACTTTCTTCTACTTCTCTGCATTAATGCTTGTCTTTAAGCTTTGAAGTCTTAAATACAAAATTTTCATTCTTGTAACATGTGGCTACAAGTAAACGATGCTCGCTCGTTGTTTTAATTTGGGATGACACTTTCGATTGTGCACCTTAGAGTAGAAGAGTAGAAGAATAAGACATTTGGGGCCTCTTGCCAATTTTACAGAAAAACTAATATCAGATTAGTGATTAACGCATGAAATTCACCCAAGGGGGCAGTGCGCTGGGTCTTTCTTCATTTAGAATATGTAGTGAATTCATCCGGGTTTTCCAACACATGTTTGAAAAATTAAGCTGAAACTTGACACTTGGCAAAAATAATGTCCTGCACCTCATATCTAGAGGAGCGGTTCCCAGTCTTATTTTGTCCCCAACATTACTTTAATTAAAAATACATACTATGACACACAAATTAGCCATTGCTTTGCACCTTTCTCTAGGCCTTCTACCGCTCTCCCGCAAGTCACCAGCGCCCACAAAGGGGCGTTCTTACACTTTGAGAAAGGCTGCTCTAGATGGACAAAACAATTTCCAAGAATCTTGAATACCCCATTTTGTGCGTTTTTTTAAAGGCAGAGAGACGAACATAAATCACACCCATCTCTCAGTCTAATTTGGAAACTTTTGGAGCTAGCAAATAAGGAGCAGCACAGTTCGACTCAATTACAGATACACTGAATGCACAACTCAGAAAAGAACCTCCAACGACAACTCAGCTTTAATTATTTTCGGGTAATTGAAGTTTAAACGGCGAAAAAAAGAAGCTTTACTCGGTTTGCAGTATTCCCTCCTCCTCGCAAATAAATTCTCCATGGAATTCTCAAGTGTCCCGACTTTCATGAGGAGGCACAAAATACTATTCAGGTCTCGTGCAATTTAAGCTGGGTTTTTGTAACTTTCAACGATAAGACAGGCAATAAAACGCTTAAAAATAGCTTCGTGGATCTTGAACGTCAAATTAAGTAGATTGACTCGGAAATCCCCGTACATAAATTTATTTGTATCCACATCACGCATATGCGCTTCTACATACCCAAAAAGCAATGGTTTACTTTGCTAATAATATATATATGTGTATACAATCAAATTGTGCTGAACGTTCACGAAACTAATATGAAATGGAAACGGAATGTATAGTGAGAATCACCCTTTATTCGTATCACTGCCGATGACTCAGATCGGAGCCGTCGTTACATGGGGAAGATCACCGATTGGCTCCGATCGGAGTCATCGGCAGCGAATGTGTTAAGCTGTGTTTCATTCTACTCTAAATATTTAACCTACTGGATATTTATCCCTATGCTGGACATTTATTTATATGCGAATTATTAATTAATATAGATATTTAGTATCTATCTATAAGCTTTAGACTTCGAATTATTTTCGCTAATAAATCGAAAATTCCTGAAATGGTACACTGCGTTTTGGTAATATAATCATATTTTCATTAACATTGTTTACACGATTGAAATACAGACTGAAACTTATTCACAAAGCTACATTGCACTGCAAATCAAATTTCTAGTATAATTTTAAGATATTTACATACACACTTAGTTCCGTGCAACAACCAAGTGAAAACAAGTTTCATGTATATCATTTTATTTTTTGACTGTAAACTAAGTCACAGAATTAAAGTGAACACCAATCCATAACTATACTAAGTGACATATAAATCCGAACACCCAGATTAAATGGTTTTATTTTAATAAAATTTTGTATAAGTACTTAATGAAGCATAATAAGTAAATGATAAAAATTTCAAAATGACTGCACTGCTTTAAAGCCCTTTGGCCTTTAATAATGTGTGGATGCACCCTGATGCTACGCATTCTCCAACGCGCCTAGGCATGCTTCTGATCATGTGGTCAATGTCCTCCTGTGGTATCTCATTCCAGGCAACCACCAACTCCTCTCGAAGTGCTTCTAGAGTCTGAGGAGGACGTTGCAAATTGAGCAATCTCCTACCCATCATATCCCACACGTGCTCATTTGGGGATAAGTCGGGAGATCTTGGTGGCCATGGTAACAATGTGACATCATTATGTTGAAAGAAGTCTATTGTGACTCTTGCAACATGTGGTCGGGCATTATCTTGTTGGAAAGTTGGATCTGCCAGGGTGTCAAGATAGGGTAAAAGATGGGGTTCTAGAACTTCGTGGATATAACGCTGCGCGTTCATGTTACCTCTGATGAAGATTAAAGGTGACCTGGAACCATAAGCTATAGAACCCCAAACCATAACTCCAACAGTGTGATGAACATGTCTTTCAACAAAAAACTGTGGATTCCTCCTTTCACCACGTCGCCTTCTAACCCTGGCACGACCATCGTGCATGCCTAAACAAAATCGAGACTCGTCACTAAAGACAATACTGTTCCATTCCTGAACCCACAGTGACCGTTGTCTGCACCACTCAAGGCGATTACGTCGGTGTTCTCGAGCTAAAGGGAGGACCCAGTGTGGCCGGTATGAAAACAAGCCAAAACTTCTCATTCGTCGGTAAACACTTCGCATGCCAATAGGTCTTCCGTGTTCTGCAAACCATTCATTTGCAATGGTCCTGGTAGTGGAGAAACGGTCCCTTAAGGCCCATAATCTTAGGCGGCGATCTTCACGGTCTGTTGTTCTACGGCGGCGTCCAGTGCCCCTTGCTCTTGTCTACACTTCTTTGCACTCTAACTGCAATTGCCCGAAAAGAAAGTCCAGCTTCCCGAAGTCCCACTATACGGCTCCTATCAAACTCACTAAGTTGACGAAATCGTACAAGTCTCCGTACTCTAGGCATCGTAAACGATCGTAACGGATGTCAAGAACCAAAATCCGCCAACGTTGATTTTTTACTGCCGATGAAATATTCATTTTTAGAGCGTTAGTGAATTAAAAAAAGCAGTATAAAAACCGGAATGTCCAACTGATAAGGCTGAAAATTTTTTCACTTGTTATTTACAGTAAGATAAATACATTCACCAACTTTTATTAAAATAAAACCATTTAAACTGGGTGTTCGGATTTATATGTCACTTAGTATATGACTTGAGTTCTTGATAAAACAAAAGCCAAAGAGCATACAGTTCTGATACTAATCATGAAGCGGATGTCAATACTGTCAATCATAAAGGATCAGAGCCACACATCTAGTAAACTGTTATCGAATGTTAAACCTACAGCATGAAA